CCCCCGATTCCTCACCTCCTCCCCCTGTCTGCAGGTTGACATTGTTCCTGATGAGATCACCGGCGTGTGACGCTGCCACGAGCACGGATAGTACACACAGCACCTGAGAACAGGGGAGAAGTAGGATCAGTGAAAAAGACACACTGATACTGTTGGTAGTGTTAGCATTTAGCATCACGGATAGTACACACAGCACCTGAGAACAGGGAAGTAGTGGGGTCAATACTGAAAGAAACACTGAAAATGTTAGCATCACGGATAGTACACACAGCACCTGGGGACAGGGGAGTAGTGGGGTCAATTAACTGAAAGACACACTGATACTGTTAGCATTTAGAATCACGGATAGTACACACATAACCTGAGAACAGGGCAGCAGTGTGGTCAATTAACGGAAAGACGCACTGAAAATGTTAGTAACACATTTAGTATCAGAATAAGGAATATAACGTCGGCCAGCTGTTCAGAGGTACAAAGCCCAAGATTATAAAAACATTTTTTTTAAACTTCAGTTTCTTTATCTGTCGTACCGATGGTGTGTGCTCAACTATTTTGTCAAAATTCACGAATTCTAAATGCTGGAAAAGCAAGTACGTGTAATATGTACAATTATAATTTTTTTAAAAGCCCTTTTTTCCCCTTTACTGCAGAAAAATATTTTTCTTTATGGGCCTAGAACATTCGAATAACTTGCGGGCTGTAAATAAGATGATCTCTTCTGTAATGACAACGGTTATAACATTTTCCTGTGTAAAGATTACGTTGTCTTAAGGCTACAGATGAAAGTGTTACAACTGAGTTGTCTTAATGGGGGACATGTTGCAACTGTGGTCTTTTACAACTGCTGTCTTTACAGTGGAAAATGTGGCAACTTCACAGAGAAAAATTTATTACGTTACAACCGTTGCATCTTCAGAGGAAAATGTAGCATTTGCAGGGGGATATGTTACAACCGTTTTATCTACACAAAGAAATGTAGCAACTGTTGTCTTTACATATTATGAAAATGTTGCAGATGTATCTTTATAGAGAAACATGTATGAGGTTACAACCGTTGTATCTTCGGAGGAATGCGTGTTTTTTTAATATTTAAAAAAATACAATTTAATGGCCAAAAAAAAGTGGAAAATGTGCAAAATTATTTTGATTTAATGTTCATTGCAACACTATATAGCTATTTTACTTAGGTGGCGGGGTCTCCGAATTCAACGTCTACCATCGATATAATCGACAAGGCGTGAGTCGTTAGTTGGCAAAGATAGCAATGCTAAAAAGCAGCAGATGAGAAAAAAGAGGGATCTTAACTAATTCTCTTTTGAACTCACACACTCACGAATAAGCTTAATGTGAAAGAGGTGTGCATGCGCACTGGTGATATTATGATATATATAAAAATGTTATATCATTTTCGAGGATATATATATATATATATATATATATATATATTTGATAATACAAGGGTCCTTATACAGTAAAACTCTGGGCTTTCAATCACATAGTGTTGAAGTATAATAACAGTTCATGATGAAATTCTTGTCCTGTATTAATGCCGAGAAACTATGTCGTATGAACATTATTAGACAGAAATAATGAAGATCTCCAAAACACCATAAAGTATCCTGGGAAAAACACACAACTGAAGCAATTTTCGAGAATTCAAATGCCGTGGATGTATATTCCCATGAAACGAAAAATTAAATTGAAACACACGTTCAGAAGACAAATGCGGTTACCCACGAACTCAGACCTCTCCTCTCCCATTAAACATCCATACAGAAAAAAGAAACAACTCATCAAAGCATTTATTTTCATACTAGCTCTATTCTACTATTGCCTGGCCTTACCCCCTATCCCCTTAAAAAATGCGGAGCAAAGCAACGCTACAGCATGTGATATGAAATGTCTCAAAGAGACTCGAAACATCAGAATAAGAAACAAACAAAAGAAATTAAGACACCAGACAACAAGTGGAATCGAATCAAGTATGCAATACACTGAAAAACAGCAAATCAAGTGGATTGAACGAGTTGCAATAAATTGGGTCTCAAAAGCAAACAATTTAAACGGGACTGAAAGGCCTACAATACAAACGAGCGACATATGCCTACAATAAAACGGGGCCTCAAGGCCTACGAACAGAATGAGATATTTCATAATGGAATCAAAGCAAGAAGAAATCCATGAAAAAGATGGACTGACGGAGTCAAAGAGACCATCCAAAGGAATAATATACCGATCCAAAAGGCAACACACATTATGGATCAGGTCCGACAATTTAAGGGGTCAGAACGATACATTTTATAAAGGGTCTTTGTCACATTTCGCTAACAATAGAGTCCTGAGTAAGACTACTTAGTCCGTGGAGACAACATAACATGGCATACAAATTAAATCACAGGATGGCTTTGAATCTGAGCTATAGCCTTTTACAAACTACCCAAACTCGGTAGTATACTAAGCACAAGTCCAGCTATTTTCTTCCTTGCACTTTTCTTGAAGCGACATCAAGATGCATTAATTCCTTTATTTTTCTTACCCCATTAATCGTGTATGTGCCTTGAGAAAGGTCCCACTGTTGGAATATGGAGTTTTGAATATTGAAATAAGGGCATTTTCTTGTATATGTAATGCTGAACACGATGATTTTAAAAGTATAAAATAGCTTTAGCACTTTTAAAGATATGGCACTTTTCGTAACACAAGGTGTAAAAACATAGTTTTGAGAACAACCCAATTTCTGGCATACTTTTTTTAATTTGGCGAAGTAAGACATGTGCAAAAATAATTAATTTAAAATATTTAAACTAAAATATTATAAAATCCTTTCAATATGTTATCAAGAAATGGCTAAATGTACGTTTTTTGATGGAACTAAACATTTGACAAGGTATGGCCCTTTTAGCCCTTTCACTCTCTTGCTTAAAAAACAGCGTTGCCAACAACAGGGACCTTTCTCCAGACACGCACTCACTCACAAAAAGACAGTTGATCTCCATTTGGCACCTCGAGGTTCATAAAGACATAAACACTAAAAAGACGCGCTAAAAAGTTAAAGCAAGCATACAACAATATACATCATTGTGAAGTGTGCTGACAAAATGAGTTACTTTTCGGATTCAAGCCTCATGGAATTTGATACGTCACACTTATCGGTGACGCTTTTACAATTTATAAATATGAAATAATAAAAGGCATGTTATAGTTCAAGAATATTATGGCATCAATAGAAAAATCTACAAATGTCACCCTCGTGTCAATCTTTTTTTTTTTTTTTCCCAATATCTCCATTTATTGTGGGTTGAGAGAAGTAACTCATTAAATTTTGTCAGCCCATATAAGAGTTGCTGAGGATGATATCAGGCCCCAGCCCCCATGTGTTATGTTTTCTCACCCTCATCTTGTCTCTGGCTGCCGGACTCACGAATGGAAGGGCCGGCCCAAGGAGAACGAGGCTAGAGCACGGGCTGTGACCGCCACCTCCAGTTTTATATGTCCGCCCGGCTAGGCCAAAACCATCACCACTTGTCCTTGTCTGGACCAAAACCCCTCTCCACAGCTACCCCCGCCTGGCTCGATACTCCCTCACAGACACGAGTACCGCCAAATATCGATACCAACCAGGAGCGACGTCGCTCAGTCGTGAATTGTTGCTAAAGTACATGGGATGGAAGGTGTTTAAGTCAATCAGGGTTTGGAGAGTAAAGGGCTGAGAACAGCTTTAGTACTAGGTGGAGGGAAGTCTCAGAATTACAGCAGGTCAGCTGGTGTGACACGAGTTTCTTTAGAATTTAATAAAAATGCTGAACTGTGAGGTTTAAATTCTTAGAGCCATCTGATTGTTTTTCTTGTTGTCTTTATATAGACAAACGAATAGAGAACAAACAAAATTACATGAAGAAAATGTAATAATTTAAAGAAAGATGAACAATCAAAAGAATATCTGGGGTGACCAAATCATCATCATCATCATCATCATCATCATCATCATCATCATCATCATCATCATCATCATCATCAACAACGACGACGACAGAAACACCACCACCACCACCACCAACAACAACAACAACAACAAACAACAACACAATAACAACAACAACAACAACAACAACAACAACAACAACAACAACAACAACGTCCGGACGAATGATAATGCCAGCAGCAACAGCAACAACTAAACCATTAAAAGCAAAACGTGGATCTTGAAATCACCCCCCACCAGTGTTGCTTCATCCTTTTCTTAAAAGAGAACAATCTATAAAGTCCTGTCTCCAGTCTTGAAGACCCTGGTTGTAAGCGCTACGCCTTAGATATCACTAAGAATTGATGTTCCACACACACACACACACACACACACACACACACACACACACACACACACACACACACACACACACACACACACACACACACACACACACACACACACCCATACATACACAAACACACACACACACACGCACACACACACACATACACGGGCGCACACGCGCACGCAATACAAACTATATAAACAGACTGTCCTCAATATGTGCAGTTTTGATGACGATGATCTTTGCGTCACTGGTCAGGTAGTTAGTCTGTTGGGCTCCGTAGTGAAAGGTCAAAGGTTAGAACCCCACCAGGGGCGCTAATGTCTTTGGAAACGGTATTTGCAAGGATTTTCCTCACTTCACCCAGGTGAGAATAGGCGTTTGGTACTAGAGTGCGAAATGTCTTGCCAGATTGTTAGTGTTTCAGCACCTAAAAATTAATCGGCAGTTTGAAAAACCAACAGTGATTCTGGGTGATCTGTTGTAAGGTCTGCCGAAGTAGTAATAGTGTAAAATACAAAGAGCATGCTGCAGAGAATGAACAGAAAATATGCGCTATATAAATGCAGCTATCAGTAACATAATATAGTTATTAGAAAGGTTATGATATTGTAAATGTCTTCTTTCTCTTCTTCTCGATAGCATCACACTTGAAGTCCGGTGTCTGTCATATACTGGGCCGTCCTGCTCAGTTCATCTGTAGGCCCGTTCTGCTCCTGGGGGTGGGCCCCTTCGAGGCATTGCAATTGTAAGCTATGTACGCCCCTTGTACACACTTTATCATTTAGGAGGTGGGCTGCTTCAGCCTCGCCTGTCAGAGTCAAAACGGGCTTATTGGGATACAGCATCCAAGCAGACATACAGAGATACTCGCAAATAAACTTCCTTACCAGGTATTCGAACACGCGTCATTTGAGTGTGACGGCAACGAGTCTTACTGTTTCACCACTAACGCACTGTATATGCCTAATAAAGAGATATAAAAGTTTTTAAGTTTTAGTTGAGGTTTTACGGCGCTCGCAACTGCATAAGGTCATATGAGCGCCAGAGATATAAAAAGATAAAGGAATAAAATGTACATGTATAAACGAATCCATGTTGTTATTATTATTCTAAAGATTGGGGTGCTCTCGTAAAAAAAAGTGGTCATGCGTTGTTGTTTATTCGAAGTTAAAAATTGAACAGCATCTAGAGGATTGGATGCGATTGACAAACGTCTAGGCATTTCTTGGTAATTAAGAGTAAAGAGTAAAGAGTAAAGAGCAAAAATGCACTACTCTGTGTATGGTATTGAAAATCATCAACAAATTTCTAAAAAGCTACAAACTTTTGTAGGGAAAGTTGCATAATAGAGATCCTTTAAATAATCTCTGGCGTGACACCGTAAGAAGTTAACTATAGAAACAAACAAATCAACGGACATATAAAGAAATCAGTCAGAGAAAGTCATAGTGGATTGGACACACCTTAACAAACCGAATAGTAGCAATACCCACCAAGTTTTAACTCGTATTATACTGAAGACTATTCCTCTTTTATACGCCACCAGTTTTATTAGCTAATATTTCATCATCATAAACTTACAAATTTCTCTACAGTCCACTTGTTAAACATTTTATTTTTGGTATCAAATAAACATCATTCTGAGTAGAAATGAATGATTCAAGCAGTAAACATACAGTATGATTATAGAAATAGAAAAGATGATGTAGAGAGATCTGGTTGACTATTGTTGTGACTGTAAACAACTGAGTAATATTGTACGCCAGCTAGCCTGGCTCAATGTATTCTAAACATTAAGATGGAATCCTTCGTGAGAGAGAACATTTAGAATGCCTAAAAGCACTTGGAGGAAGGACTTAATTCGCACCTCAAACAGATAGGATACAACTAGACATAAACGAAGAGTATAGCCCAAGACAGGGAAGTAGACGGAGAGCTTTTGTTGGTGACCTTTACTCTGGGGTGGTGGGAGGGGAGGGGGAGAAAGGATGAAGAATGAAAAGCAACACAATGACATGGAGCTTAGAATTGTCTTTGGGTGATGGAAAGAAGTAAAATAGACAGGAAGAAATATCAGGTATATTTTTTGTTTCAAATAAAGACCTATCTGTAGTGCCCTTCAACTACCCGCTGTCATTTTAGGAGTTGCCTCTTATAGGAAAAATAACGAGAAATGCCTATCCAACTTCAAGAATGTCTTTGCATTTTTCAGTTTCATTTGAATACCTTAGAAAAATGCCAGGAATGCAACGAGCTTCGCTAAATTGTTAATCGGAGGAGTCACCGTTGTGTTTATGACCAACTGAACTGCAATTAATTGTTTTATGCCGAAGCAGCTGACATGAAAAATTATGAATAACATCAAGCATACGAAGTGAGTTATTAGTTTTTGCTTGCACTCCCACTCCTTTAAACACATACATACACACACACATACACACACACACACACACACACACACACACACACACACACAAACACACATTTTTAAAAAATGATACATGGTTGTGGTTTGTTTGTTTGTTTGTTTGTTTGTTTTTTAAAGTCAAATTTGAAGAAAGGATATTTTATTAGCTATGCTCAAAATTTTAAACCTTCAGCGTGTACACATGTTCATTATGAACAACAACGACAAGTATGATCAAGCCAAAATACAATAACATACTCATAAGAATGTGTCATTTTTGTTACATCTAATCTTTTCAGGGAAACGTAATAGGGAACTGCAAGAAATTGCTTTAGGAGAATTATCTGCTGTTTAATATTAGTTCTTAAATCTTGCGAGTTTTTGGGACAATATAAGTAATTGTTTTCTCTGCCTTTTACTTTTTTGGGGTTTGGCTTTGTTTGGGTCATTTTTCCCTTTTCTTTGCATTCATTTCATTTCTTTTTAAAACTAAGGGGGTGGGTGAAAAAAGGGGGGGAAGGGGGGGGGGGGGGTAAACGTATGCATTCAAGAGAATGAAATTTCAGACTCATGTCTTAAAAAACGTTTCAAAAGACAATTTCATTTGTGTCTGTGATTGTCCGACGATTTCTTTTCTTATGGTCCTGAACTTTATCAACTGACTCTACAAGACAACTTAGTTTTTCTTTAAGATTGTACACATTTTTGTCTACCAGTAACTGGCGTCTGTGTTATAGTCGTCTGGCTTGCAGCCATTGCACGCAAAAGTAGTGAGTTCGATTCCTAAGATGGGATTAATCTGGTATCTTCGTCTGTCCGAATGAATGCCATATTATTTTATGTCCCCGGAACTTCATTCACTTTTGAATATTTCGTCGTCTGTTACCACCATAGGCACAGCATTGGCCCCCCAAAATAAGGACAAGACATTAATCTAGCTTTTGTCGAGTACGTGTGGAATCATCCCCCCCCCCCTTCCCGTCTTTAAAAAAATAAATATTTGGCCGGCCCTTGATTTGGCTCAAATGGTGCGCTCCATAGTGCACTGGAAAATACATCAGAGTGCACGGTTTGGGCTGTCATAATACAAGTCTGACTGAACAGTTTCGCGACAAAACGCGACAAACGTCACTTTCGAAGTTCGGCCGAAACAAGTGCCATCGTTTCTAGAAATGTGAGACACATTCCAGAGTCAACTTTTTTCACAAAGCACAATGTCTCCTCATCAAAGGACTGCAGAACGTGGAGCTTTTTTTAAAAATAACAAAACACGACAAAAGCGGTAGATCTTTTTTTTTTTAACAAACCGCGACATATCCTCTGCGTACCGGTCAAGTTCTTTCCTCGAGTAATGAGACTTCGTTTGTGGTCGACAGAAGTTTGTCGGAGGTCCTTGTCCTTCCTTAGAGTATTAATGTGGATATGTCGCGTTTTGTCAAAAATTTGTGGAAATCTCATCCATTTAGAGGATAAAAATCCAACTTGGATTTCTTCAATTAGCGAATATCAACTAAACCTTACATCATGTTTACTCTAAAACCAAAGTTGCTAAAGATTTTTCAGTAAATAGGTGAAGAATAGTAATTCAATGTTCTAAAAAGTCGGAAACATTGGTGTGTCGCGTTTTGCCGCGCAACTGTTCTTGTTCATACCGTAGATCTAGATCTAGATAATCATGTCACACGACGAACCCTTTTGGCTGAAATTTTTGAGTGATTGGTGCTGAAGGAAAATGACTTTTTTTTGGAATACATTGTTCCAAGGT